GCAAATGGCTGCAATATAACAAAGAGTGAAAAATTGAAGGGGGTCTGAATACTTTCCGTACCCACTGTATATTAAAAAAAAATTCAGGAGTCTGCTGTCCACAGTAGTCCTTAAGATATCAGCACAGTAACACACTCAGCAAAATATGGTCTAATTATCGTTATTGATAAAATCCCAGAAAATTATCGAGATATCATTTTTTGTCAATAAACACAAAGAATTTATGTTATTTAATTGAAATAATAATTTATTGATAATAATTGTTTAAATTAATATAATAATTAATTATTTCTTAAATTAAAATTATTATGATATTAATAATTCATTTCTCAAAAATGGTTTAAAGGCTGAAATGTAAAGTTTATCATTTTATAAAACTTTTTGTTTTTGTGAAAACTTGTAACTAAACTGTAAGTTATGCTTTTTACAGTAATTTTACAGTTTAATATGGTACTATAGACATTGCCCTACCCCGCTCATATGGTATTAATTTTATTTGTGCAGGTCTTAAAAGGTCTTAAATTTGAGCTTAAAGATCATGCAGAAACCCTGAAGAAATCTGTACAGAAGTGCAGAAGCAACTGCCATGTCACTAATCTTATTACAGTTACTGCAGGGTGTCTTTGACATGATTCATAGTGTGAAATTCCATTTACTTTTGAATCATTACCAGTGGTGCCTAAAAATACATTTTTAATGGGGTGGCCAGATCCTAAAAGTCTAGGATCCTAAAATATACAATATACAATGGAAAAAAAAACCTGCAATTGTAATTTTTAGTCAGCTGCACGTTTATGGGTGAAATCATTAAAGAGTGAATGGGGAACGATTATTTCTAATACAGTTAAAAATAAAGCTGATTATGGAACCTATTCGTAAAGTTACAGAGTTAAATACTTTGGGATGGCCTGCGGAGCCTTAAGCTACAAGATTCATGTCTTTTACAAGAGAAATAAAGCATGGTGAGATATTTGGTATGCTTAATTTGATTTGTCCATTTTAAATTCAAAGTGATCTTCACACAAACACTGTATTACTGAAGTGGCACGCTAAAGTGCGCATAAGCAAGAAAAGTTTAGGCGGAGTCTGAGAAGGAAATCCTCAATAAACAAATCTTCGTTAATATTGAATTTTGATGTAAAATATTTAAGTCCATGTTTGAGAATATGTGACCTTGGCTTAAACTAAATTATAATTCTGTGTTAAGCATGAACAGTCAACATGGGCTTGGCGGTTGGGGCACCACTGATCATGCTGCTGCCTTAAAAAAATGACAATGTTCTGCATAGGAAAGTTTTATGATATAGACATATTTCTGACCTAATCAAATAAATGTTGCAGCTCCCATCTGAGCTGTGGTGCAGTGGGTCACATGTGTTTGTGACACAAACAACCTGTTAGGACCCAGGTTTGTGTCATCTGTGCAGCCTGATCCCCTTCCACCTTTCTCTTCCCCTTCCTGTCTGTCTCCACTGTCCAATAAATAACATGCCCCCTAAATATCATGTAGTAATGGAACTGGAGACTTCAAAAATGGTCTGTGTAATTTAGATGTCATGGAGGCATATTGTGTCAGTGTAGACCTGAGGGGAAAAAAGCCTGCCCTGAACTTTAAAGTCTAAGATCTTGTTATGGGGAAAAATATTCAGAATGGCACCCGGGAGCTCCAGTGATCTCACCAGGAGGAATGAGAGAGGAAGCGGGTAAAGAGCAGAGAGGAAGCCCAGCAGCATGTCTTTTGTGTTGGGTAGAAGGATGAGAGAAACCCATCCCCCCATCATTTCGCACTGACTGATGGTAGTTTAGAGAAAACAGCAGGTCTGTAAAGAGATTTCTGTGACTCTGAAGAGTTTGAGCCAGCGGACTGACCTTACCCAGCCCAACCCTTCAGCACCTCTCCCAGTCCACACCAGGACCTTGTTAAAGAGGGAAAGAGGGGGAGAAAAGGAGTGAAAAAGAGGAATAAAAAGTCCCAAAGACATTTTTGTGTGGTGTATGAAATAAAATTTTAGTGCTTGAGGTATTAATGAGCTTCTTGTGTAGGCCTACTTTTAGAGAAGAACAAAGCTCTTCTGCTTCACTTCAACAACAAAGCAAATGGTTTTTAGTCTTCAAAATTCACCTCTCTCTCTTCCTCTCCCCCCTTTCTTTTCTGAGATAAATGATGCCCTCTTTCCTTCAATTGTGCTCAGACTCTGACGTTCCCATCACTTCCAGTCTTGGGTCAGTGATGTCACTCACTTAGACACGTACACACATGAACACTGTTCACTGATACCAAGAGTTCAGAGTTTGAGAAAAAAAAAATTTTTTTTCAAATCGGAACAACACATGAAGCACTAACACACTCACATACACAAACCTACAGTAACGTTTCCCAATATTTTTTTGTTACCATGGTTTCAAAGAACTGGTTGACAGAAGGGAATTTCTTAAAAGAATATGAACTCAACACCTGGAACTAATATCCACTATAATAATCATACAAGATGTCTATGTTTTATTGATTTATTTTTGTTGCTTTCCATTGTTTTTCTGTAACCCCTAATAATCTAATGTCAAATTAAAGGGGTCATAGCCTGTGCTATTGTAGCATTTTTTCCCCCTGAAGTCTAGTTATAATGTTAGTCAAGGTTTCTTGCACCAAAAACAATTGTAATTTTGCTTTTTGGCCATTTTATACAATTATACACCTCCTTTCTGATCCATGCAATTAAACAGCCTGACTTAAATATGTAAATGTACCTCTATTAAAATGTCCTAATCTGTTATAATTTTTTTTACAGTAGGTGTAGAAAATAATCACCCCCTTTAAAATAATCGCATTTTGTTGTTTTGCAGCCTGAAATGAAAATGGACACAGTTTTTGTTTTATCCAGCTGTATTTACACAGTGCAACTTATAACATCCAAGTGAAAGATATAAGTCAGAAAGAGCTTTGTTGCCA